TCAGTCAACAGGGATGCCCTCTGGCGAACTTTCAGCCGTTTTGTCTGCCCACCAAAATTCATCGCCATTGGAACAACTCCACGATGGCATGAACGGCAGTGTCCTGTACAATGGCACCCAGTCTGAGTTCTTTTCCATCCAAACGGGGGTAAAACAAGGGTGTGTACTGGCACCAACTCTCTTTTCTATTTTCTTGGCTGCCTTCCTTACTCGTGCCAGTGCCAATTTAGCAGGCGGGGTCGACATCGAGTAACGGGTGAAGGGGGGGTCTTTTCAACATAAGATGACTCCAGGCAAGAACAAAGGCGTCGGCAGCTTCCATTACTGAACTTCAGTATGCAGACGACCTCACCCTTGTCGCTCACACTAAACTCGACCTGGGAGATCCTGAACACCTACACAGATGCATATGCACACTTCGGACTTGAGGTGAATTTTCGTAAGACTCAGATTCTCTTTCAGTCTGCCCCTGGTTCAGCCACACCTCCACCATTCATCCAGCTTAACGGCAATTCCCTCTCATATTTTACCCACTTTCAGTATCTCGGCTCCCACCTGTCCACCATCGCGGACATCGATGAAGATATTCAACATCGGATCAGATGTGCATCTCGAGCCTTTGACAGACTCCGTACCCGTGTCTTCAGCTGTAGGGAGCTGAAATTATCTAAAATGGTGCACGTATATCGAGCAGTGGTCCTCCCCACCCTGCTTTAAAGGCAGCCAGAAATGGGTCACATACAGGAGGCACATCAAGGCGTGAAAACTTTCACCAACGTAGTCTACGTTCCATCCTCCGAGTTCGCTGGGAAGACAAGAGAACAAATGCCAGTATTCTTGTTGACACCAACTGTAGGGAGCATCGAGGCTACCATTATTCATGAACAACTACGCTGGACTGGCCATGTTACCCGCATGGACGATAGTAGACTGCCAAAGTAGCTACTTTACTGTCACCTAACGAATAGCAAACGTAACGCTGACGGGCAACTGAAAAAGTTTAAGGATAGTTTAAAGACAAACCTGAAAAAGTGCCAAATCGACCCCTCACCTGGGAGATGATTACTCCACACCGCAACGCTTGGGAGGGCACCACCGCCAACGCCGGAAGACGCTGCCGCCGCCCTCCTGCACTAGTTGTAGCCCTCCTCATATGCAACATCTGTGGACACCCTGCCGGTCCCGTGGTCCTCACCTAGTTACCTCAGAGCTCACAAGCAAGGTGACATCATAATAACTCCTATCATTGTCTCATAGCTGGATGATCATCACTTGATTCGGGTGACAACAAAGTAGTAATAGTGTGTGTGTGTGTGTGTGTGTGTGTGTGTGTGTGTGTGTGTGTGTGTGTGCCACTGTGTGGGGTGACGTTTGTGTGTGTGTGTGTGTGTGGAGGGGGTGGCGGCGGCTAGCCTGTGTCCACGGGCCTTATATTGCCTCCATGGGCTGTCGATATTGTACATCATCACTGTCGTCTCTCTCTCTCTCTCTCTCTCTCTCTCTCTCTCTCTCTCTCTCTCCGTTGTTTGACCCGACCTAGCTCATTTTTGGGGTTTGTAAGTGTGTGTGTGTTTGGTATGAGAGAGTACGTGCACCACAACACACACACACACAGTTACTTGCCACACTGTGTTATCACTACCAGCCGGCCTATCTTCACGCCTCACAGAGCGCCGCTGAACCCCCGTCAGATGGGACTTAGGTCATGACTCAGCAGTAACAACATTTTTCAGTACCTGTCGAAATTACCTGTCTGAGTTGTTGAGGTGTGAAGACGTCATCACCCTCCCATGTGTGTGAGATGACGTCATCAACCCCGAGTGTGTGAGAGACGTCATCACCCTCCCATGTGTGTGAGATGACGTCATCACCTCCCAGGTGTGAGAAGACGTCATCACCCTCCCATGTGAGATGACGTCATCAACCCCAGGTGTGAGAAGACGTCATCACCCTCCCATGTGTAGATGTCATCAACCCCCAGGTGTGTGAGAAGACGTCATCACCTCCCATGTGTGTGAGATGACGTCATCACCCTCCATGTGTGTGAGATGAGTCATCAACCCCTAGGTGTGAAAGGACGTCACTCTCCCAGGTGTGTGATGACGCCATCACCCCCAGGTGTGTGAGATGACGTCATCACCCTCCCAGGTGTGTGAGATGACGTCATCACCCCCAGGTGTGTGAGATGACGTCATCACCTCCCAGGTGTGAGATGACGTCATCACCCTCCCAGGTGTGTGAGATGACGTCATCACCCTCCCAGGTGTGTGACATGACGTCATCACCCTCCCAGGTGTGTGAGATGACGTCATCACCCTCCCAGGTGTGTGAGATGACGTCATCACCCTCCCAGGTGTGTGAGATGACGTCATCACCCTCCCAGGTGTGTGAGATGACGTCATCACCCTCCCAGGTGTTAGTGTAATCACTGGCAGACAGCGACACTGACAGACCGTGGCCAGTGTGGGCCAGGCTCTCACCCCCTCCCCAGCGTCCTGACACGCTCATTGAAAGTACTCACCCTCTCATAGTAGGTGCTGACGAAGGCTAAGTACTCCTGGGTATATAAGACTTGGTAATTTTAAGTTAGATGATGGGAGTTTGGCGTGAGCTGCAGGTGAGAGAACTCAAGAACTCGTTTACTGCCTGATGGGAAAGGTGAGGAAGGGGAATTAGTCGTGTGTGTGTGGGGGGGGGGCATTTGCGTGTGTGTGTGTGGGGGAGGCATTGCGTGCGTGTGTAGTGGCAGGGGGGGACATTTGCGTAGTGTCACATTCCCTGTGCGTGTCTTGAGCCACACATATCCACTGTAATTGGTAGAAGTGCAAGGGTTGTATTGCACGCTGGTGGTAGAGTGGACTGACACGCTTTAGGTGAATTAGCGAGAGGAATATAACGTTTCCATAGATGATTCAGTACACAAGAATACATTGTAATTTGTTCCTGCAGCAGTAGAGTTACAGTTTCTGGAACACATATATAACTTATTCATATTACTGTATGATTTTAAAACTGGGATAAAAGAAAAAACTATTTTACGTTGCTCGTGATTTTTTTCTTATTTTCAATTTCCAGAGAACAAATCTCATTTTTTTTTTTGGTGTGTGTACTGAGTTGCAAATTAAATTAGAGTTAATATTTAGATGTACAGACTTACAAGAGTCGTGACTTCCAGCAGTTGCCTCGGAGAGAGAGAGAGAGAGAGAGAGAGAGAGAGAGAGAGAGAGAGAGAGAGAGAGAGAGAGAGAGAGTAATAAAAATAAACACTGGTAAATAGACTGTAGTGAAGTGTACGCTACCTGGCTATGTTCTACATCACCTTCCTGTTGCATTCCCACACCAGTAACTTGGACCTGGTAGAGTAAGTGTGCCTGCCTGCCTGCCTGGCTACTTTAGTTCTGGCAGGAAACGGAACCAATACTGTTTGGTCAGACGAGGTGGTAGGTGTACCCCTCCTCTCCCCTCACCCCCCTTCACATTCTGACCCCACCGCTACACCTTCCCCTCTATACCCTCACTTCCCCACCCAATCCTGTACTACTCCTCCCTCTCCCTCCCTCACCCCCTCCCTTACCCCTAACCCCCATCATTCCTCCCTACCCCTACCCACATTACCCCTTCCCTACTGCACGGGGCTGGAGGCCGGGAGTATTGCAGGTGTCAAGGGTCATTAAACACATAAAATATTACTTGATTTTTTGCCATGTATGTCTCCGTCCGTCTGCGTCCGTCCGTCCGCGTGAATTGCCTTACCTGGCGCACAACGCAAGATCCGTTTTAAACATCTAAAATGAAGTCAGTATACGTGCTCATTACTCTCCTAACAGTCCGCGACCTACAATAAGCAACAACTTCATTTATCACAATAAGACTCCAACATGCCACTGGGCTGCATTATTCAGTAAGGTCATCCTACTCGACCTCATTGGCTGTAATCACTCGTAATAGCCACTTGGACGGTAAGTGTGCTCTTTAGTCAAGGATATATTTTTTTTTGTGATGCAGTATATATATAAGGTAATGTTCTATTATATGTATACACGGCTCTCGTAATGACCACAGATCTGTTTATTCTTTCTTATATCTCTTTATATATTTGTAATTATCTCAATCTATATTAATAATGTTCTCTGGTTTATCTTCCTCTATACTCATGTTTATATCGTTATGTTCATGTGTGTTTACTGTGAGTAAGTATAGCGGCGTTCATTTAATTGTATCTAACCACAGCTAACTAGTGTCATCATTTAAGTATTATTAATTTCAGCCTTCGTAAAAATTTATCTAACCACAGCTTTTACTTAATTATAGCTGACCACAACCTTCATATCAGAACACGCGATTAATTATGTCTTATCTAGAAGAAGGGGCATTTAAGTCTTCTTCTTCTTCTTCTTCTTCTTCTTCTTCTTCTTCTTCATCTTCTTCTTCATCTTCTCCTCCTCCTCCTCCTCCTCCTCCTCCTCCTCCTCCTCCTCCTCCTCCTCCTCTTCTTCTTCTTCTTCTTAACAATTAATCATCACACCTTCAGTTATATATCCAATTAATTTTAACACTTACGAGGCTCTAACCTCGATGTGACACAATCAGACAATTGTTTTTATTTTATTTATCAATTTTCAATTTTTATGGTGATTTCTTTTTATGAAGTTAAAGTCAAATAATTAACACTAAAATGAGGAAGTTGGGAGGTGACAGACACGTTGTAATAGAAACTGGTAAATGTCCTTGTGTCAAATGGCCTCCTTGGTATTGTAATCATTTTTCTTTACAATGGTTGAAAATGTCCTTGATTTTTTTTATTTACGTTTTAATTGTTTTCGTTTTATGTTGTAGAGACTTTTGAGTTAATGACGAAGACACGGCGGAGTAACACTGACAATTGGGGCAGTGTTGACAAGGTCTTCGGTGGGGTTGGGGGAATGATTAAGGTTGACAGTCTTCCCTTCAGAGTACGGAGTTGATGGCCTGTTACTATCTTAGTGCTTGGTGGTGCTCACTGTTGTACCCAGTGCTTGGTGGTGCTCACTTGTTGTACCCAGTGCTTGGTGGTGCTCACTTGTTGTACCCAGTGCTTGGTGGTGCTCACTTGTTGTACCCAGTGCTTGGTGGTGCTCACTTGTTGTACCCAGTGCTTGGTGGTGCTCACTTGTTGTACCCAGTGCTTGGTGGTGCTCACTTGTTGTACCAATTGCTGTGGTGCTCTTGTTGTACCCAGTGCTTGGTGGTGCTCACTTGTTGTACCCAGTGTTGGTGGTGCTCACTTGTGTACCCAGTGTGGTGGTGCTCACTTGTTACCCAGTGCTTGGTGGTGCTCACTTGTTGTACCCAGTGCTTGGTGGTGCTCACTTGTTGTACTAAGTGCTTGGTGGTGCTCACTTGTTGCAGTGTAGTGGTGCTCACTTGTTGTACTCAGTGCTTGGTGGTGCTCTTGTTGTACCCAGTGCTTGGTGTGCTCTTGTTGTACCCAGTGCTTGGTGGTGCTCACTTGTTGTACCCAGTGCTTGGTGGTGCTCACTTGTTGTGCCAGTGCTTGGTGGTGCTCACTTGTTGTACCCAGTGCTTGGTGGTGCTCACTTGTTGTACCAGTGCTTGGTGGTGCTCACTTGTTGTACCAGTGCTTGGTGGTGCTCACTTGTTGTACCCAGTGCTTGGTGGTGCTCACTTGTTGTACCCAGTGCTTGGTGGTGCTCACTTGTTGTACCCAGTGCTTGGTGCTCACTTGTTTGTACCCAGTGCTTGGTGGTGCTCACTTGTTGTACCCAGTGCTTGGTGGTGCTCACTTGTTGTACCCAGTGCTTGGTGGTGCTCACTTGTTGTATGCTTGGTGGTGCTCACTTGTTGCCAGTGTGGTGGTGCTCTTGTTGTACCAGTGCTTGGTGGTGCTCACTTGTTGTACCCAGTGTGGTGGTGCTCACTTGTTGTCCCAGTGTAGTGGTGCTCTTGTTGTACCAGTGCTTGGTGGTGCTCACTTGTTGTACCCAGTGCTGTGGTGCTCACTTGTTGTACCCAGTGCTTGGTGGTGCTCACTTGTTTGTACCCAGTGCTTGGTGGTGCTCACTTGTTGTACCCAGTGCTTGGTGGTGCTCACTTGTTGTACCCAGTGCTTGGTGGTGCTCACTTGTTGTACCCAGTGCTTGGTGGTGCTCACTTGTTGTACCCAGTGCTTGGTGGTGCTCACTTGTTGTATCCAGTGGATGTTACAACCCCCCCCCCCTCTCCGCCACCCCCATCGGGCGAGCAACCGTGGAGTGGACACGAGAGCCTGGCATACCCCCGGCATACACCAAGCCATATTAGGAATCGTTTCACTCACAATTTCCTCCTCCTCCTCCTCCTCCCCACCTTGATGGAACGGAACGGTAAGAGTTATTATTAGCGCCGGACACAAGGCCACGGCTGAGATACTCTGAGGAAATCATATTGTCTTTTTCCAACACAACAAGGGACTTTCTGTGCCTTCTTCACTTACCCCTAAATGCTATCGCAGATGTTAGCAGAAATTGGATACTGCGACAACAAGCTCTAGTTGTAGCCCGTTGATACACCAAACGTTGGCAGGGACTAACTCTACAACAAACGTTCATTGTAGGTAACTGGCAGAGCAAACGGTGGCAGGGACTGATACCACAACAATCGCTGAATGTAGCCAGTTGACAGAATAAACGTTTACAACATTAGTTAGGTCAGGAAAGACAGGTGAGAATCGGGTGACTAAACCAAGCCAAAAATATACGTACATAAACATATACAAGACAAAACATAAAATAGATATTTACTTTAGTCCAAGGAAACAAGATATGAAATATACTTAACCTTATAAAAACTATATACTTACAGGGAATATACTTCTTACCCTCACAAGAATCATTATAGATTAGTTTTCTTGCTCACCGTCAGTAAATATACACAACACACATACGTAGTGAGGCATAAATAATCTGCTTTGAAAAGAAATATAGACGAGAGAAACTTAGCGTCAGGTGGCGAGACATCTCCATGCCAGAGCCAGGAAAAAACACTTCATTGACCTGGTTATACCTTCTGACGACTCGTTATTAACAGCACTTATTTAGTTGTCTCTTGTTTTAATTATCCTCGATTTCCACCTTTCTCGATTAGACTGATAATGTCTTTCGCGGGAGGGAAGTTTACGGTATACGAGTATACAGGTATATCAAGAGAGTTACGAAGTGTATACTAGTATTAAAAGTATTTGTGTTTGCCATACCTTGGTAGTGGATGTGTGACAGGTGAGGTGGTGGGGAATGCTGGTGTGGTGTTAGTGATGGTGGTGATGGCGGTAGTAGCGGTGGTCTAGTGGTCGCGTGTTCTGTGGTCGGGGCCCAGAGCTCTGTAGCCATTCATAAATACTGTCTTGTGAAGGTATATACGCTTGGTTGTAAACGTGTGTGGTAACGAGGGGAAAGGAGTGGAGGCCAGTATCTTTATTTGTGGTTGAGGACATGAGGAGAGGGGAAGAGAGGGGAGTTGGGGGCGCCATCTGTTGCTGGGATTCCTAAGACTGCTGTGTAGAGGATGGTCACTAGCTGGGACAACCATGGTCCGTGTTTGCTGGGATTATTCTATATAGGGACGCTTGTAAATTAGGTCCATTGCTTACAGGATCCACTGGAATTATAATATGCTGGGCTTGCTAGGAGTGCTGTTTACTAGGGTTGCTAGGACCACAACAGCTGGGTCTGACAGGGTTCATCTCTGTTAAACATCCTCAGACCACCCCCTAATTCACTAGGACCACTATCTTCTACACTTACCAGAGCCACAGTTAGTTCTACCAGGACTAGTCTGTGTTCTGAACTTGCTAGGATCACAGCTGGGTGTGTTGGACCTGGAGGAAGCATATGAGCCTTTAAGGGCCTACCCCAACATCCTCCGGAAGACGTGTATTTATAGAAGGGTTATATTATTGTTTTATTGCTGCTGGCTGTGTCGTCAGGAAGGGGCTACACTCACGACTGCTGTCTAAATTTAATACGTTTTTGGGCCATTTTAGTTGCTTATCTGGTGTAGGCCTACATACCTACCTTGGCTTCCAAAAACTGTTATCAGGTATTTCATCATTTCTGTGTGTGTGTGTGTGTGTGTGTGTGTGTGTGTGTGTGTGTGTGTGTGGTGTGTGTGGTGTGTGTGTGTGTGTGTGTGGTGTGGTGGTGTGTGTGTGTGTGTGTGTGTGTGTGTGTGTGTGTGTGTGTGTGTGTGTGTAGTGAGATGGTCAGCAGGTGTCTCACCTATCAGAGGCAATAATGTTCAGCAACAAGTCACTTAAAACACGTTAAGAAACTACTTAAGGCAGAGGTAGATGTAGCAGGTGAGGAGGTAGTGAGGACCAGTGACAGTGAGGGAGGTGGTAGGAGGACCAGTGACAGGTGAGGATATGGTGAGGACCAGGACAGGTGAGGAGGTAGTGAGGACAGTGACAGAGGAGATGGTGAGGACCAGTGACAGGTGAGGAGGTGGTGAGATCAGTGACAGGTGGAGATATGGTGAGACCAGTGACAGGTGAGGAGGTAGTGAGGATCAGTGACAGGTGAGGAGGTAGTGAGACCAGTGACAGGTGAGGAGGTAGAGACCAGTGACAGGTGAGGAGATGGTGAGGGACCAGTGACAGGTGAGGAGGTAGTGAGGATCAGTGACAGGTGGAGGAGGTAGAACAGTGACAGGTGAGGATATGGTGAGGACCAGTGACAGGTGAGGAGGTAGTGAGGATCAGTGACAGGTGAGGATATAGTGAGGACCAGTGACAGGTGGAGGAGGTAGTGAGGACAGTGACAGGTGAGGAGGTAGTGAGGATCAGTGACAGTTGAGGAGGTAGTGAGGACTGAGTGACAGGTGAGGAGGTAGGTGAGGATCAGTGACAGGTGAGGAGGTAGTGAGGACCAGTGACAGGTGAGGAGGTAGTGAGGATCAGTGGAGTGAGGAGGTAGTGAGGATCAGTGACAGGTGAGGAGGTAGTGAGGATCAGACAGGTGAGGAGGTAGTGAGGACCAGTGACAGGTGAGGAGGTAGGAGGATCAGTGACAGGTGAGGAGGTAGTGAGGATCAGTGACAGGTGAGGAGGTAGTAGACCAGTGACAGGTGGGAGGATTAGTGAGGACCAGTGACAGGAGAGGTGTGAGGACCAGTGACAGGTGAGGAGGTAGTGAGGACCAGTGACAGGTGAGGAGGTAGTGAGATCAGTGACAGGTGAGGAGGGTGAGGATCAGGTGACAGAGGAGGTAGAGGATCAGTGACAGGTGAGGAGGTAGTGAGGATCAGTGACAGGTGAGGAGGTGGTAGTGAGGCAGTGACAGGTGAGGAGGTAGTGAGGATCAGTGACAGGTGAGGAGGTAGTGAGGATCAGTGACAGGTGAGGAGGTAGTGAGGACCAGAGACAGGTGGGAGGATATAGTGAGGACCAGTGACAGGTGAGGATATAGTGAGGATCAGTGACAGGTGAGGAGGTGTGAGGACCAGTGACAGGTGAGGAGGTAGTGAGGATCAGTGACAGGTGAGGAGGTAGTGAGGATCAGTGACAGGTGAGGAGGTAGTGAGGATCAGTGACAGGACAGGTGAGGAAGGGTGTAATGACCGCCAGCTAGGACAGGTCAGGTAACAGTACCCACTCAGGCTCCAAGGTTAACATCGCCACCACAAATATAAACATTAAAACTCTGAATTGAAACTTAACTTATAATTAGTAACGCTATATTTTATTGTCTTGAACTTAACCTATTATTTGTACGGCTATCATAGTCAATTGGCTCAAATTAGAAGAGCGATTTATCGAGAGTTCTATACTGTGGGTGTATTTTTTAAGGGTTCAAACTTCTAAATTACCGGTGTTAGTGCAGCTCATGTTACGAGGAACCTCTGTTTTTATTTATTTTTAATCAAGAGAGATGGTGGGAGAACCTGTCTGCCGGGGGTGGTGCATGAACTAGCCTGGCTGCCCTCCACACAAGGACGAGTCTTCCTTCTCCTCGTGTGCATTATCGTTATGTGTGTGTGTGTGTGTGTGTGTGTGTGTGTGGTGTGGTGTTGTGTGGGTGGTGTTTAGGCACATCCCAGTGAGTGGCTGATGACTGCTGGCCGGGTGGTGTGGTGTCAAAAATAAAATAATAACAATAATTAACGGTTTATTGAAGAGCTTGGCAGCCAGAAGGCAAAATATACAGTTACATATGGGAATGGGTTTGAATTACAAATAATATACAAGTAACATAAGTAACTACAAATAAGAATATATAATCAGATGGGGGAAAAGCTCAAACTACAGTGCATTTCAACATAGTGACAGTGCAAGGAGTAGTGTTTACTGGGGAGTGAATGCACTGGTTTATTACAAGTTATTGATAATTTTACAATGGTTGGGACTGGGCTGTTCTTATAGCGATCAGTTCGTGCACGTATGGGCTGGATGCGGTTGTGGTGTCGAACAGCTTTTGGACTAGGGATCTCAGGTGGTAGTAGGAGCCGGTGTCGAGGATGGTGTGTGTGTGTAGTAAGCCTGTTTACCAGTTGATTGCTAGTGTAGGAGTTACTTCATGTTTTGACGTAGATAAAATATCTAGTTGAAGATGGTTGTGTCCAGGACTGAGGCGAGGAAGCTGTGGGTGGTGGTGGTGGTGCTGGGGAAGGAAGGTGGTGGTGAGGATGGTGGTAGTGGTGTTGAAGGTTGTGGTGGTGAAAGTGTTATTGGTAATGGTGATGCTCGATGTGGTGGTGGTGGTGATGGTGGAGGTGGTGATGGTGGTGTTTGTGATGTGTAGACGCTTGTGTTAGTATTAGATACCTACAGACGAATAATTAATCTGGTGGACAAGCAAGCAGTATCTCAGGAGGACCATACCGTATGTGGGGAGGCTGGAGGCACACTGTCTCATGCTGGTGGTGGTGACAGTCCCCCTACACTAACACACACAACACCTTCTACACCACCACCTTTTCTCTTCTGCTGTTTCCCTGTTTCTTTTCCTTTGATTCATTCATTTGTTCTTCTTGGTTATTTTTCATTTTCTTCTACTTGTTCCCCTCCTCATCTTCCATATTGAGGTCAAGTGTACGTAACCTTTGTCCAGGTATTGGCAGTATTTCGGTCATCTGGTGTTGACGTGTTTACAGAATTACGTTTCCCAGACTATAAGATGCTCGGTGCCTTGTGAGTGTCCTGTGCAGTTGATTAGAATATTTGTTGTAGGTCTTTTAAGTCATTTCCTACTATATTGTAGTGTAATAATAATAATAATAATAATAATAATAATAATAATAATAATAATACTTTTAATGATAACT